TAAGCACTGTGTAACTGCCTCGAGGGTGCTTGACCATTTTAACACAACGTGGTGCGATCATCCCCCTTGCGCGGAGTGAGGCTCTTCCACCCCGCACAACATGATCCACTCGACCACCATTGTGGTTACCGCCGAACAAAAATCAGAGGAAAAAAAATCGGTAGACTAACCTGTTGCCGAGCTCACGAAGTGAATTGGCTTGTTTTACAATGGTTGCCAAGCGACGAAAACCCATTCCCGATGTCATACACCGATGGGGGCTTACTCTTATGTTTTGCATGCCTTCGCGGTTAGACCATTGTGTTAAGGAGTGTGGCTGCTAGCATGAATAGGGTACATCTTATTCTTGATAGGATGCGGGTCGGTCAGGATGTATACCCTTCTGACCCCTACCCCCATAGAATTGTCTACTCTGTGTACCCCCTGAGATGAAGTTGGATCCCCACTTCATCCCAGACCTTTGTTGATCGTCTCTCAGCAATAACAAGCAACTTTCCCATCTCAACGTGGTCGTGGACAAGCGTGTCAACGACAGAACCTTCATCTATCTCTAGGAGCAAGCTACCGCCCACGGCTTCACTCCTTGAAACTTGGCGTCAGCTGGCATTACACGGTAAGCGAGTGCTGGACGCGGCTTCCACACTGCTGTGTGTTGTTGCCACGCTTTTTTCACAACCACCGGGTTGCTTGTTATTTGTTCTCACCACCCCGAGAATCTAGACTTAGCCTCTTCTCTGCTTCCTCTCCTGTAGAGATGCTGGCTTGTGATGCTTTTGCGAAGCGCCCGCGGGACTGGGTCCTTGCAAAGGATACGCGCCTCGGAGCCCATCGCGATGTTTTGGGTGATTTCTCGTCCGTTCGCCGTCGCTCGAAAGCTATTTTGTCTGCATCGGCGGTCCATGAAGTGATTTCTGTGGCAGGTACGCTCTGCATGGAGCGTCCTGAGTTGCTGGCCTCGTGTAGTGGGATCCGAGATGACAGCATGCTTCCCACGTCTGCTACCACCTCTACTGCATTCATGCCGGCGTAACGGCCGATGTCCGCGGATTTTCCTGTTGTGCTCTCCGATTTGACTCCGCTTGCATCGACTTGGAACGCGATGTGTGCACACAAATTGGGTGTCAGCCGCCCCACCAGCCTTCCCTCCATTTTTCGAAATCACATGGCACTTTTTTTCGGGGAATCGTTCACCCTCAAAGCATTTGAATTGGAAACCTTTCAACAGCGCAAACCCACAGCGGTCTTTGCTCGCACTTCGGCACCAGTTGCGGAGGAACGCCGTGCTGCTCTGCGTGTCTTTTGGTCGGAAAACCTCGTGTCTCCATGCAACACGGGCCCTTTTGTGCTAGCTTCTACTGCTGTTTGTGCGTGGCATGGTGTGCTTTTGGACGCTTTTTCTGCTTCGTTGGATCCGCTTTAACCTCGTGTGCACCAAGCTTTTATCACTGGGCGTATGCTATCTTGTGAATATCTCCGCCTTTCGCATGGACCT